TCAGTATATTTGGTACTGGATCCACACAGCTCTCTTGGCCGTGGCTAATGGTTTGGCTGCATGGTGAAGCGACTTAGAAAGCACAGAATTGAAGGATTTAGGTGAACTTCCAGAAATGGCCACAGAGCGTAAAGGTATTTCTGTCCCACTACAGGGAGGCTCTTGACAATCGGATGGCTAAGATGGCATAGCCCACGGACGCCAGCTGGCCTCCTTCTGCAACTCTTCCTTTGCTTGCCCAACCCACATCTGCACAGTGTGGTCGTGGCGGCAAGCATGGGGAGCGCTTACAGGTTCAACAGTGTGGACTCGCCCCACCAAAGCTGACCTGGTTGATGCCACCACAGTATGTCCGATCTACCATCCCGGCAGGGACAAATACTGAATACCCAATATATGTTTCTTCTGTAGGGATTCTTCTGGCTGCCTGGTGCCAGGTGGTTTCCCTGGATCCTTCCCATCCTAGAGGGCACAGTGATTTAGTCTCATTAACACAGCCAAAATCTACAGTTCCAGCAATCAATAGCTTCTCTCACTACTACACCAAATAACCCACAGGATTAGTTTCTTGTATTTGCCATGACAAATTACTATAAACTGGGTGACTTAAAACAACAGAATTTATTGTCTCCTAGTCCTGGAGGCCAGAAATTCATCATCAGCTTCACGCGACCTAAATCAAGGCATCTGCAGGGCGGTGTTCCCTCCAGAACGCTAGCAGAACAGAAAATCATTCCTTGGCTTGTCCAGTGGCTGTGGGCCTCTGCTGGGGCTACACTCCTCCAGTCTCTGTTTCTGTCTTCATAGGGCCTCCTCCTCGTCTCTGTGCTGGAGATTTGCCTCTGGCTCTCTCTCTCTCAAAAGGACATTGACAATTGGATTTAGGGGCCGCTGGATAATCCGGGATTATCTCCCTATGTCAAGATTATTAACTTAATCACATCTACAAAGATCCTTTTTCCTTATAAGGGAACACTTAAAGGTTCCAGAGATTAGGCTCTGATATCCTTGGGTGGACATTTTTCAGCCTCCTGTGCCCACTCACAAACTTTTGCTGCTGGGCTCCTCTAGCTTTGGAGGTCTTCATTTGCAAAGGAAGGGAAGAAAACAGTTTTCATTAAATTGGAAGTGGAAACTTCTAACTGGCCATTTTGGATATCTCACGCCACTAAACCAGTAGGCGTAGAAAGAGTTACTCTACCGGCTGTCTGACTGGTCCTCTCCACCAAAGGGGACTTGGGGTGCTGCGGCACAGTAAGGATGGGGAGGACTATATCTAGGACCCAGGGATCCTTCAGGGCCCCTCTTAGTAATTCCTAGACAATAGTAGAAGTTAGCGAAAAGCTTTGGCACCCCAAAGGATCATGAAAGACTCAGACCCTCCAGGATAGATTATTTGGGTCACCCCACCATGTCAAGAACCCCAACTGGCTGATGTCCTGGCTAACGGCAGTTATAGGTAAGAGAATTACAAAGACACACACACACATTTACCCAATTAGCAAAATATTTATTTTTTGTATATATACACTTACTCAACTAACAAATACCTATCTATCAACGATGGCACTGGGACCAGTTACCAGAAGGAGGAGTCCTGTACTTACGCATATTTTCTTCCTTGCTTGGTGTGTGTGTGTGCGCGTGTGTGTTGTATATTAAGCAATTCGTTTCCTCCTCTCTCCTCCTCCTCCCCTATTATTTTATATAAAGATTGTAAGTGATTGCAAACTTTACAGTTTACTGTTTAGTTGTCGGTGGGCTTGTGACTGAATGAAAGTAATTAACATCATCCACATATGGATTCAGTGGTGAACTCCTGGAGATGGATACATCTGTTGGACGGTGGGACTCTGTGCTTTTCCTGTTTGGGGGGAGAGGGTTCGTGTCTTCATTTGTATGCAGGGTAGTTTCATCTGATTGGGTGGAAGCTACTGTTGTCATATGGAGGTTCAACTGTGTGTGGAATGATGTGTATGGATACTGAGGGCCCAGAGGGGTGGACTGCGCCAGTTACGAAGCTACTGTCTTAGCGTTCCAAACACAGCCTCTATACTCTGCTCTGTGGTCCTGGGGCTGGGACTCTGCAAACCACATGACCTTGGTCAGCTGACCTTGACAATAAGGGGCACTAGGGAAAGGTTGGGAGGCAGGAGGAGTGGAGACTTCCTCCTTCCTTTGCTTGTAAGCTTATCAGTGCAGCCTAATGCCAACGGCCGATGCCAGCCTCCAGCTGTTTTCCTGCACTCCCAAACAAGCTTCACTGTACCCCGTAAGAGGTACGAGCACCAGCCAAACAGAATCCCTCTTCAGATTCCTGAGCCCCAGCACGACAGGACTCCTGTGGGTTCTGCGAACCCCAGGTTCTCCCCTTTATTCCTGCAGCCCTAGGAGCAGCTGTTTCCTGCAAGGATCTCCTCTCATTTATCCTAGTGTTCCTTTTGCTCTATTTTTTTAAATATTTTATTTATTTATTTGACAGAAAGGGAGCGATCACAAGCAGGCAGAGAGGCAGGCAGAGAGAGAGGGGGCAGCAGGCTCCCTGCTAAGCAGAGAGCCAGATTCGGGGCTTGATCCCAGGACCCTGAGATCATGACCTAAGCCGAAGGCAGAGGTTTAACCTACTGAGCAGCCAGGTGCCCCCTTTTGCTCTTTGAGCACCCCCCCCTACAGCAGTGCAATCCAGCCCCTTTTGTAAATTCTCTTTGTTGAAAACCTTGCCTAGTTTCTGTTTTCCTAAATGGACCCTGACACTAACTATTAGCAAACCGGTACTCACTTTTCACTGGGGCCCTAAGCCAAGAGAAAGTAGATGTGTAAGCGCCAGGGGTCATCATGAGAGTTCAGCCTGCGTGAGAGGGAGGCTGAGACAGAAGGCAGATCCCTGACATGTTATGTACCTAGCTCTAGCTGTGCCGAAAACCATTCTACCCTCCCGACAGTTTAGTTATCCGGGCTAATAAGTTCCATTTTCTTTTCTTTTCTTTTCTTTTTTTCTTCTCTTCTCTTCTCCTCTCCTCCCCTCCCTTCTCTTTTCTCTTCTTCTCTCCTCTTCTCTTCTTTTTTCTTTTCCTTCCTTCCTTCTTTTTCTTTCCTTAAGCTATAATTGGTTAGGTTTTTGTTGTTCAAGACCAAAGAGTGCTGACTAATCCAAATTTCTTCATCCCCACCCCCAGACCACGTACCCCACCCCGCCTCCACTGAACAGCCAAAAGCAACCACCTCCTACTGAAAACTTTAATGAAACCAATAAGTTAATAAGTTAACAAAGTGAGGTACTTGCATATCCGAGGACTGGGTTGGTGGGGGGACCTTGATTGTGGAAGGAGGGAGGGCTTCATCCCAAATCTCCTTTGGTCATAGGGTAATCCCATTCTCCTGACCCTCTCCACAGCTCTATCTCTGAGGGGTTAGAGGGTGGCTCTCTGGGGACAGTGCAGTGCAGGTGAGGAGAGCCAGGACAGGCTCCATCCAGGGCATGACGGTCACATGCAGAGGAGACATTGGGGCAGAGGCTGGGCACCATGGGGCTGCACGAGATCCAGCCCCAGCCCTGGCGCTGGTGCATGTGGGTCCCCAGTCATGAGATGCAGGCTGCTGGGTCTGAGCCCCTCCTCGTTCCCTGGCGCCCCACGGAGGGTCACCATCAGTCTGCTACCCATCCCCCTCCTGCTCCCTGCATTGGCTTCGCAATAGAGGGATAGAAGGGTCGGGATACCAAAGAGGTGCTGGGGGCCTGGCAGTGGGCGGGGGGACTTATGCCAGAATGGGGGGCTGCCAACTGAAATGAAGAATGAGTGCAGAAGGAGGGGACACAGTGCCTGTGGGTGCCAGGTGCACAGCTGGGGCCCAACAGATTGGAGCAGCTAGATGCATTATTATTCTCTCCAGGAGTGAGAGTACTAGGAAAGGGGTAGGTCTAGTGGAAGCAGGCCTGGTAACCATCCTGGGGAAGGGCCTGGGGTTTTTCCAGTGCTGTCCAAGCCCCAGGGGCTTAGGCCTGAGTTGTGCTGTAGGGATGCCAGGGAGGGTCCTTGTGGGGTAGCAGAAGCAGCAGTTCAGGCTCCTGGACCAGTGAGAAGTAGAGGTTCTTGAGAAAGGGGAGCAGGTGAAACTCAGAGGTAAGGCCTAGAGAGGCCTGGGGCCACTTCGGAGCTCCCTGTCCTACTCAGATCGAGTGGCAGGCTTCCTCTTAAGTGGACGTCACCCTGCAGGGCCAGTCCATTAGCATCAGCTGCAGAACCCCAAGGAAGGCTGACGGCTGTGTGCGCACATCTCCAGGTGTGTGTGAGACTGTGTGTGTCTGTGCGCGTGAGAGGCTTTCTGCATTTTGGGGGAAACTTTGTGTGACCATGGGAGCACTGTCCGTGGGAGATTTGGAGGCAAATACAGAAACTTGTGCTGTAAGGTGTCTGGTAGGCCAAGGAGGGGAGTGGACATCCAGCAGGAAGAAGGAGCCCCTGGGAGGGGATACCTGCCAATGGGTAGGGGAGGCAAGGGAGAAACAGACCCCATGCTGGGTGAGGAGCAGGTGATAAGCCAAAGAACAGGGATGGGGGTCATGGCCAAGCAGCCTGAGACCAGCTATTGCTGGGGGCCCATCTCCCAATGAGGGAGGGGCAGAGGGACCCCATAGGGGTCCCCCAAATTGCATATTTAACATAGTTTGCATATATGGTGTCCAGCTGCCTTGTGGCAGGGTCCTATGCTTGTGGGTACCTAGGGGCACCTTGGGCCCACCCCCAAGTGGGGCGGGGCCTTGGCGGGAGGGTTTCCCTGCTCTGTCCGAAGGGCGGGCCAGAGACCTCACCTTGCATAGCTGGAAGCTGGGTCAGGGCCCAGGACCCCAGCGCCCCACTCCCACTCCCGGGTCAGTGCCCCTGCCAGGTGGGCCATGTCGGGCCTTGATGGAACGGGCAGGGCACTGGGGGGCCCAGAAGCCGCGGGGCAGCCGCTGCTGCCGCCCTCCGTGCGGCCTGGCATCTCACGCTCCTGAGATGGGGCGGGTCGCTGGCACCCCCATGGCGAATATCTCGCCCACCCAGGCAGCTCAATACTGCGTGTGGCCTCTCTCCCCGCAAGGGAGCAAGTTCAAGTAAGAGAGGAGTCCGGAGGCCTCAGAGGGCGGGTCCGACCGCCAGGCCCAGGGGCTGGCCGTGTGCCGCCCCGCCTCTGAGAAGCCCCTCAGTCCATGTTGGTGCTGACCGAGCGGGAGATGCTGAGCGTCTGTGCGGAGACGGAGATGTCCTCGTGGTCCACAGGACTATGGTAGTCGGAGGTGATGTCGGGGTCGAAGAGCGGCACTTGCACGGTGCCCAGGCTGGCCGAGGTGCCCGAGCGCAGGCAGCGCGAGTAGAAGCCCAATAGCAGGTCCAGCTTGTGTTCGATGGACTGCACCTGGGGACGGGGTGCGGCTGGGGGCGGGGCTTGGGGCTGGGGCGGAGCTTGGGGAGGGGTGCAGTCAGGAGGCGGGGCTTGGCCGGGGAGGGACGCTTCTGGGAGACGCGGCTCCTCCCACGGGAGGGGCGACAGAAAAGGCGGAGTTGGCCGGAGGGCGGGACGAAGGTGGGAAGCTGGGGGTTCATTCCCGTAGGGAAATCTAGTTGTGATTGATTGGAATAGTCCGGGAGCTAGAGACAGACAACTGAGGCGGGGTTACATGGCAGTACAAGAAATTTAGACGGGCTTATCTGAGACCACAGCCACCTGGAGACGGGGCTTGGCAGGAGAGGGTGGGTTTATCGGGGTCGTCTAGCAGGAATGGGCGGGCTTCCTGGGAGGCGGGGCTATCTGTGGGACGGGGACCCGTGGGGCCTAGGATGCGTGAACCCTGCTCAGGCCTCCCAGGCTGGTGGTCTGGGCTGCGGCTCCGAGAAGTGCACCCTCCCCTTGTGCTGGTCCCCGCGGCCTCCCGGGAGCTTCTTGGTCGACGACCAGCTCCGCCATACGAACGAAACTCCATCCCATACTCACCTGCTTCTCCACCTTGACCACGCGTCCCATCATACTGATCTCATCCACCGCCTCCGTGTCCGAGGGCCCCTTGTCTCCCTTCTCTCGGGCCTTCCGGTCCCCGGGCCCCCGCCCCACAATCTGGTCCACCCTGTGGAAGAAAGTAACCGTCAAATGGCTCAGACACACGCCAACCGTCCCTCCCTCAAGAACTCTAGGTTGCCTCCTAAAAGGGTAGATGCAGCCTGCAGTGGTAGGAAGACAGATGTGAAACGGTGGACTGGGAAAAAAGAGACCCAAACGGGAATGTAAGTTATAAGGTGGACAAGGCTGGAGCTGGTCCGACCTTATTTTTCTGCTCTCCCTTACAGCGTGATTCTTGAAAGCATTATCTCGGCCCGCTGTCCAATTTCTCTCCTCCCTTTCTCTCTTAAACCTACACCAGTCAGGCTTTTATTCCCACCATCTCACCAGAACTACTGTTGTCAAGATCCCAAATGACCTCCGTGTTACTAAATTCCATGGTCAACTCTCAGGCCTCATTATACTTGACCTTTTATTTTTTCTATTTTTTTTTAAGATTTTATTTATTTATTTGACAGAGAGATCACAAGCAGGCAGAGAGGCAGGCAGAGAGAGAGGAGGAAGCAGGCTCCCTGCTGAGCAGAGAGCCCGATGCGGGGCTCGATCCCAGGACTCTGAGATCATGACTTAACCCACTGAGCCACCCAGGCGCCCCTATACTTGACCTTTTAGCAGCACTCCAGCTCTCGGCACATCTGGTCACCCTTCTTCCCACATATCCTTCATGTGGGGTCGCAAACACCACCTTCTCCCAGTTCTCCTCCTACCTCACGGACCTTTCCTTCTCCCTCTCCTTCTCCCTCTCCTTTGCTGGTTCTCCTCCTTTACCTCCACGAAACACTGCAGGACCCAAGGCTCACTCCTAGGACCTCTTTTCTCTCTGCACTCTCACAAGGTGATGTCTTCAGTTCCAGATTTGCAATTCTTCTGTGCCCTGTTGACACAAATCTGTATTTCCAGCTGACAGCTCTCCTCTGAAGTCCACACTGCGCAGTCTAACTGCCCCAGCAACACTCCCGCGGATGTCCATTTGGCTTCATAACCCAACACCTCCCAGCTCACCTGAGCCAAACCTGCTGCCCTTGTTGGCTTCTCTGTGTCAACAAATGGCAACTTTTTCCTGTTGTTTCCTGTTGCTCGAGCCATAACCCTTGGCTTCAGCCTTAACTCTCTTTTCTTCTCTTATACCCCATCAGAAAACCCTACCAGCTCTACCTTTAAAATCTATCTGGAGTCTGCATACTTCTCCCACCCCCTCCACTGCTGCCCCCTTGGTCCAAGTCCCCATCATCTCTTGCCTGCACGTCTGACGCAGTCTCCTGTCTCGTCGCCCTGCTTCCACCCTCGCTTCCGTATAGGTCATCCTCAGCACAACACCTTCAGTGCTCCTTTAAAAATACACTCAGATCTTGTCCGTCCTTTGCTCCAACCTCTCCAAGGCTTGCAGCTCCCCCTAGGTGAATGCCAGCGTGTGTGCTGTGGCCCACGGGGCCTTATACAGCCCAAGAGCCATTCATCTTCTGACCTTGCCTACTGCTCTTAGGCCACAACAGACACACTGGGCTCCTTGGTGCTCCTTAAACAACACCCTAGGACACCTGCCCAAGCCTTTGCTCTTGCTGTTGTCTCTGAAAACTCTTTACTTAAACAGTCACAGGGCTGTTGCCCCACCTTTCATTTTTTTCCTCAAATGTCACCTTTTTACCTATTTAAAATCACAAACCCCAACACTTTAAACCTTATGTTTCTCCTTAGGCTTGATCACCATCTGACACGGTCTAGTTTCATTTATTTATCATCTGTTCTCTTCCACTAGAATAAAAGCGGCATGAGGACCAGGACTCTTGCTTTCCACCAGAGCCCCACTGTCTGGCAAGTAACAAAAGCCCCATGACTATTTCTTAAGAGAACAGGTGAATGAATGGCAGTGAGAATGCCGGCTACAGGAGAAGCGCAAGGTGTAGGTAATTACGGTCTTGGTGCAAGAATTCTTCTTATGTGCTGGGTGGAGAGAGGAGGTGCCGGAGGGTTCCACAGGCAAGAGGGGGGCAGCATTGAGGACAATTTGCCTATCCCCTTGGGAGATGGGAGATCACTAGTTATTTTAGTCCTCCTATTATTTCAGGACCAGGAAACAGCCATCTAAAGACATCCCCCCGAGGAGTGCAGGTTGGTAGGGATCGCACAGAGGACGTGAGGCTGGGTCCTTCTTCTGGCTCAAGACAGGCGCGGGGTGAGTCCTCAGTGGCTTGCAGGAAGCCAGAAGCCTTGCCCAGGCCAGAAACTCCAGCTCCCGCTGAGGCCTCTAGGGGGCGCCCGTGGCTCTGTTCGGGCGCGGGCCGGAGGAGGGTGGGGGGCCGCTCAGCTCGCAGTCCTAGCTTTGCGGCCCGGGCCACGGTCTCACTGCGAGCGCACCCACCGAGCCTGCAGGCTCTTGATCCGGCCCAGCATATCCAGGTGCCCCGCTGAGTACTGCTCGATGACGTCCTTCACGTCGTATGGTCTCAGAGTCTCCTTGAATTTCCTTTTGGCCACCAGGAATTTCAGGATCCTGTCAGGAGAGGGGGTCTCAGCGGGAAGGGTTTCTTTTCCAGCCCGCTTTCCATCCCTTTGCTAACCTTTAGCTCAGCATGAGGGCACCTTCTGCTTGGGTCACTGCAAACAGCCTCTGCTGGGTCTCCCAGCCTCCCACCATGTTCCCACCATGTTCCACTCCCAACCCCTTGATGTCTCTTTGTTTTTGTTTTGTTGTTGTTTTTGTTTTTAAAATGTGGTTGTATCTGCAGTAGCATTAGCCTGGGAGGCCTGGGGCTGGGCCTGGTTTCTCCCTGCTAGCTGGGACACAGGGCAGGCCTCTGTGAACCCTGGTGATCAAGACGGCCTGGGGGAAGGCATTTTTGCATTCACTGCATAAATGCTTGTTAGCGCCACTGTGCTAGACCTGGGCACCCAAAGAGGCACGAGACCCAATCCCTAATCTCAGGAGCCCTGTTCCTGTCTCAGTGGGAGACAGGACACACAATTATGGGGTGACGAGGGCCATGTCAAGGAATGGAGACAGTGGTCTGGGATGATGAGAAAGGGGCTCTCAGCTGGGGAGGTCAGAGGGCAAGTCTGGAGAGTGGTACATTCCAGTCCCAAAGGCAAGGGGGGCGGGGATGAAAAGAGGCTTTCTGGACACAGACAGACATGGAGGCATGAGAGTGAGATTCCGTTCCAAGTTGCCAGGCCAGAACGTGCAGCCGAGGGATTGAGCCACAGGGGGCGGTGCGGCGGCATATAAGAAGAGAAAGAGATTGACCTTGAAAAGGCCACTGGTGGGCAGACGGAGGAGGCACTCGGAAGAGCCCAGAATCTCTGACCGAGATTGGTTAGTGGGCAGCAGGGGTGGTGGGGAAGGGTTTCCTCTGCATTAGCAGGATGGCTCTGCCTACCTGCGTGGGCAATGCTCAGAGGCCAGAGTCTTGGGCAGGAAAACCAGGCCCAGGGGCGGGGCCTGATCTGGGAGTGGGCAGCTGGGAGCAATTCAGGACTAAAAGGAACTTCCAGGGTTCTGAGTCTGGGTCCAGAATAATTCCCACGGCTTAGGCAATGGGGTGGGTGGTAGTGCCACAGGCTGAAGTGGGAACAGGGGAGGAAGAGCAGGTCTGGGGCATGCTGGGGGTGAAGGGTCCGTGGGGTGGCCAAGGAGACCTGACCTGGGCCATGTGGCGGCTCAGGCGATGTGTTCCAGAAGCTGGTCGCTTGGAGGAGAGAGACAACATGTGTAAAAAGGGGGTGGGGAGAGGACTCAAACTCTCTGGGGAGCAGAGAGGGGCCCAGCTGACTCTGATCTTACAAGGAACACAAAACAAAGAGGCTTGTGGGTAGATGCATCAGACAGAAAGGAGAGGAGGCGAGCCTGGAAGGCCTCGGGTTACCCCGAGGTTTCTGGAGCTAGAGCTACAGGCCAGAGACAGAGTCTAGGCCAAGAATCCACACCAATAAGCTTGGGGGCCAGAGCCATGGCCAAAGGGCTCAGGAGACTCTGGCCCACTCTTGTCAAGGCAGGGAGACAGCCAGTAGAGCCAGCAGGATGGGGCTTGCAAACTCGTTTGACCAAGACCCACCACAAGAAATACATTTTACCGGGCACCTGGGTGGCTCAATCCGTTAAGCATCCGACTTTTGATTTTGGCTCAGGTCATGATCTCAGGGTCGTGGGATCCAGCCCCGCAGTCTTTGGACTCCACACACTCAGTGTCTGCTTGGGATTCTCTCTCTCCCTCTCCCTCTGCCCCTCCCCCTGCGTGTGCTCGCTCTCTTTCTCTCTCTCTCTCTCTCTCAAATAAACAAATCTTAAAAAAAAAATACATTTCACATCAGAGACCAGTACACACACACACACACACACACACACACACACACACATAACTGACATGTAGGTTTCATCAACATTATTTGCCCTTCCTATGAGGGAATGCGCTCTGCTATTTTCTATTCTGTTCCTTCTTGTTGTTGTTAAATACTGACCGTGGCCCACTACACTGATTTCACTAAGTTGATTTCAAACTGTTGTGACCTGTGGTTTGAAAAGCACCGCTCTAGAGGAAGTCCTGAGGGAAAGAGACAAGCTGAGGTCAAGACACCCAAGGAGAGAGAAACTCGGAGACAGAGAAGCAAAAGGAGGATGAAACCGAGACACAGAGTTGGAGGGAAAGAGCACATAGGACAGACGCAGGGAGAGGCAGGTGCCTGTCTAGGGGGGAGGAGGGGAGAGACGTAGAGAGGACATTGCGGGTGGAGGAGATGGACTGTGGTGGGCAGCCCTCCAGACGTGAAGAGGATGAGCAAACCCTGCTGGGAGCCATATGCCACCTCCCACCCCACCCACACTCCAGGGTCCCCGCCAGCCAGCTCAGCCAAGGGTGCCAGGCGGGCAGCAGCTGGCCTGCCTGGGAGCTAGGCCAGGCCTAGCCAGCAGGGCAGCCCCAGATGGGGAGCAGCAATGGGTGGCAGACGAACTGTTGGGGGGGCACCTCAGGCCTCAGACTCACCTGACAGAGCGGATGACCATCTTTACAGCGGGCATGACGTCATCCACTGTGAGCTCACACTGGTAGCTTTTCTCTTCTGCCACTTCCTCCGAGGGGCCCTCTGGAAAGTCAGGGGGCCCAGGTAGTGGCAGCAGACCGAGCCACTCACAACCCCCACCACCACCTGCTGAACCACCCTTAGAGATGCCGATCCGGAGACAGATGCTCAGAAAGGGTCCAGAACCTTCCTGGGGGCAGAAGGCAGACCAGGCTCCTGCCTCCCTGGCTGCCTTACCCAGGGTGGAAAATCGTGGTTTCCCGCACACCCATCTGCCCTCTGGCCAGTCAGGCTAAGAATCTGCCTGGTGGCCAGGTAAGTGGGAGTGGTTTTGGGGCGCATCTGATTTGGCCTGCGGCAAATTACACAAATTACACAGCCCTGGAGGAAGCCCCACAGGTCCCACCAGGACAGTGAGCCTCCGAGAAAGGGACCTGAGGCCTCTGCACATAATCACACACACAGTCTTGTCCTCCAGCCAAGAGGGAAGGGAGATCCAGGGGCTGGCTCCCATGCCCAGCTCTGCTGCAGGGAAAGGCCCTGGGAGCACATCCTTCTGTCTCCAGGGGAGAGAAACACTTCTCCCAGGCTGGCGCACTGCACGGAGAGGGGATGCTGTCCTTGAGGAAGGAGAGAGTGGAAGACCAGGCAGCTTCTGGGGTAGGGAAGAGGAGGCCCTGGGCACCAGCCATGCCCAGACTCCCATAGGCCAACAGCTCGCAAAGACTGGTCTATGGGATTCTGTAACTTTCCAATAAATGGCAAAGCCAGGATTCAACCCCAGCAGCCTGGCTCCAAAGTCTGCACTCTTACCCGCTACCGAGTGCCACCCTCTGCGTTCTCATTTGATTCTTGAACAGTCTGGAGCCCAGCAAAGCAGGTGTTGTGATGCCCAATTCACAGACCAGGAGATGAGTCCCCAAGGTGGTCCATCAGGTATAGAGCTGGGACTAGACCCATCTTTCTACCGCTAGCCCAGACACTGTCCCTGCCCCACACCCCCCACTTCACAGCAGGTAGGTCCTGGGCCCCAGGCCCACAGGGGCTCACCCTCAGCAGAGGTACGGGGTTTGAGTCTCAGGGAGGCCCGGAAGCGGGTGCGATCATTGAAGCTCCAGCTCTTCTGTACCTTGGTGGGGCTGGCGGCCTCGCCCACCTGCTCGCTGCTTGGGGAGGTGGGCATCGGCGGAGGGGCCAGGTGCTGCTTGGAGGGGCCTGTCCGTCGCTGGGAGCTGCCCATGCGGATGCGGTCCTTGATGCCCATCCGGCTGCTGGCAGGGCACGTCGGGTGGGGGAGAGAGCCAAGTCAGCCGGAGCTGGGGACAGGTGTGCGTGGGGACATAGCTGGCTTAGGACTTGGGGGAGGCTACTGGGTTTTGATTCTCCACCAAGTGGAGACTTCCTGGAATGGAACAAGGGTGTGGCGAGGGGGACCCTGACCCCTACGGGAAGCTGATGCCAGGTCAGTCTGAGCAGATCCCCTCCCTACCCCCATCTCCCACCCCACATCGCACAGACAGATAAGGGGTACACAAGAGACAGATGTCAGAGCGGAAGGAGCGAGAGAGACCCAAGAAGGGAGTCAGAGACAGACAGGAGGATGGGAGAGCTGGGCCTGGCTCAGGTGGGTGGGTGGAAGTGGCCACCCCTTTGGGCACAGACAGGCTGCCGAGGGATGGAGAGAGGCTCTCCTGGCCATCCACACTGAGAATGGCCTCCAGGTGCTCGCTGTACGCAGAGGCAGGCTGTGCGGAGTTGATGGTGTGTGTGTGTGTGTGTGTGTGTGTGTGTGTGTGCGTGCGTGTGTGTGCGTGCCCACACATGTGACAGTGTGAGTACCCAGGTCCCAATGTGTCTATATGTTTCAGTGTATATTTTCCTCCTTTCCTGCTGGAGCTCTTTGATCCCACACTGGTCAGTCAGGCCCAGTCTTTAGGACCTGGTCCAGTTTTGCAGCATAAACAGGGCCGCCGGGGATGCAACGTGCCGGCTGCAGAGGGCCTTGGCCTTGTGGGTCTAGCTGCTGGGCCCACATATATGCCCCAGACATGTCTGGTGCCTGCCCTCCCAGTGAAGGTCTTAACCCGTTCTTCTGTGGTCTCCCCTGCCTGAGTTCGACCTACCTGGACAGATGCTGACCGTCCCAGCTCCTCAACCCCCACTGTCTAACGAACCCCCATTTCGGCATCACCTACACATGTCTGTGTGCGCAGGAACACACATGTGTGTGTCTGTGGGTGTGCTAAGACTTCCTTTCCCACACCCCAACTCCCCACCATGTCTCCAAACCTTGGGGAGGCCCCGGGTTCCCCAGGACAGGCCCTAGTTAGCCAATACCTGGTAGAGTAACTCTGTGTCCAAGGGTTTCAAGGACCATCTTCTCACTGAGTAGGACCTATGCAGATGTCCCCCATCCCGTGCCCTGGGGTGTCACCACTGCCCCCCTGCTGTGGCTTACAGACAGGTTGGGACCATTCCACCCTAAATGTCCAAGGGTCCTGGCTCAGGAGAGCACCAGCCAGTCTTAGAGGAGGCCTGAGGTGAGGCACAGATTGGGGGAGGAGACTGTGTCACCTACTGTCAGGAACTTTCAGATCAAGAGTTGACCAGAGGACAGATTCTGGTTTCAGGACCGGGTGGGAGCTAAGGTTCCCCATGCCCTGGGCATGGGGTAGAGGGTACAGAGCCAAGGTGCTGAGGAAGATCTCGAAACCAGGGGCACCTTCGGGAAGGCAGCCAGGATGTAGGGCCATCCTTAGAAGTAGGGGCCTCTGCCCTTCTAGAAGGGAGAGGTTATAGGTCATGGATTGGGGCCCTGAGGCTATCAGAAGGGAAGGACTAGGCAGCCCCACAATCCAGCATGCTGTTTGCTGGCCCAGGATCCCCTCAACACATCCCAGAGATTCCAACCAAAGTTTGAGGTTGGCTCTCCCAAACTTTCCTCTGCAGAGCCATTCCTTCGGGCTCTCCTCATGCTGGCAAGCAACCCCCACCCACCCGGCCCGTGCAACCCCTCTCTCTGTCCTCCACTCCTCCAAAGGGGAGAGAAAGAGGGGGTGGAGAAGGCCCTGACACATAGACAAGGGCCTGGACCTCCGGATCTCTGCGCCCAGCACATCACTCCAAAGACATTCTGGGGGAAGGGGGTGACCTTCCTGTCATGAGAAGTGTACAAGCAAGACTGAGCTTGCTCTCAGCAGGACTTCGGGAAGAAAGGGTCTGGAGGCTTGCACTAGAGGCCTTGAAAGGTCCCTTTCCAGCTCTGATTCTGCGATGGTTGAAGGAGCTTCCAGCCTGGTTTGTGGGGTTCTGTAACTTTCCAGCCAGCCAGAGGCCCTGGGCTCCTCTTCAATGTAAGAAGGCACTGTTTTCCCAGGGGTGGCCCTGGATTCCAGCTCCTTGGGCAAGGCCCAGGAAATGGCTCACGTCAGCCTCTCTGGAGCCTAAAAGCTCAAACAAAATGGAAAGAGACCTGGCACGCAGTGGACGTCACAAGAGCTCCGCAGCGCGCGCACAGTCCTGTCTGACTCTCTCTTGGCCGCTTTGTGGGGTGGGTTCCACATTTACCATCCCTAGTTTGCAGACTGGGAAGGAGGGAAAGTGATCTGCCCAAAGTCCCAGAGCCACTCTGGATCCAGCAAGGATCAGCACCCGGCTTTTTCTGACTTTAGACACTGTTCTTTCTCCAGAACTAGCGGTCAGCGTCTAGGACAGTGGGTCTCCATGGACGGCAATTTTGCTCATTAGGGAACTTGTGGCTATGTCTGGAAACATTTTTGGTTGTCACATTGGAGGGTGGGCCAAGGCCAGGGAAGCTGCTAAACGATGCTAAATAATGCATGTGACAGCCCCCCCCCCCACCAATCCCAATCAATGAAGAGTTCTCCAAAACCGGACTTCCTTGGGGCTGAGATTAAGAAACGGGTCTAAGGGGTCTGTTCGTGCCTGGGACACAGATGGGCTAGGCCACAGAGTAGCAGAGGGTAAGCTCTGGACACAAGCTGCCTTCTAACTGCCCTACTCGGTCAACCCCTGTGCTCACGTCCACAAGAAATGACTTTAAGGATTCCATCTGCTACCAAAGGCCAAGTGCATGGGGAGACGAGGCAGCCTACCCCTTCCGATGCTGTGTACAGCCCCTCTCTTCAGGGCTGTAGATGCAGCCTCATCACTGGCCCCTCTGCCCCTGCCTTGCCCTTCCTGCCCATCAAGCCCACACAGCTCAAGTCATCTTGTAAAGGGGCGGGTCTGACCCAGAGACTCCTTGGCTTAACCCTTCAGGTGTGTCCCCATTTCCTTCAGCCGAGGTTTCCAAGCTATTTTTAAAAAATAAGACCTTGACAGTTCAGCATACCGCACTGAACAAGTCTGACCATTTACACAGCACCCCCTATGAACCAGGCACATTCTGAGCCAAGCAGACGCCATTACCTTCCATGTGTTACATCTGAGGAAACTGAGGCCCCCGGCGCTTAGGGTGGCTAGCTAACAGTGGCCAGGTTTGGTTCCAGAATACTAGCTCCTAAGAAGCACTGCCTCTTGGGTGAGCCTCCAAGAGCTCTGTCACCGATGTACTTACGGGCCCCTCAACCCACAAGGCTCTGAAAGCATTTTTGGGCAACCCAAGACTCAGAGAGCCCAGACTGCCAGGCAGGGCCTAGAGGATGGCACTCATATGGGGTTTTGGGGTTCTTCAGGACCCAGCTCTGCCCCCAACTTCACTCCTGACCCCGCACTCTCTGATCTGGCCGTGCTGGGCTGCCTGTTCCTTTCCCGTGGCTGTGCCCTCTCTTGCCTCCTCACCGTGATGCACCGTGATGCACGCTGCTTCCTTGGCCTGGGATGCCCTCCCTCACGTCCACTCCTTTTCGGGCCTCTTCTAGGTGAAGGGCCTGACCCTGGCTCTGTACCCCCTCTGCCTCCTCCCTTCACTGCATTCATCACACTGAACAGCACTCGCTCTTGGCAAGTCTCCAGGCACCATCTTTTTTATTCATCCCAGTGTCCCTAGCACTGGGCCTGGAACGTGGTGGCGATGCAGCTATCCGAGCTGGGCTCTAGAGTTGGCGAAAGAGGGCCAATCCCCGCTCCTTCAGGCATCGGCTAGGTCCCTGGTTGGAGGAGGAGGGGGCAGTGGGAAGCCAGGAAGCTAAGCCCAAGGCTGGGCAAAAGTCAGAGTGGGAAGGACCCTCAGAGAGCCTCTAGTTCAATCTGCCCATTCCACAGATCGGAAAATGAGGTCCAGAGAAGGGAAGCATCATGACCCAGATTACACAGCAGGTCAGCGGAAGAGCCAGAACTCATCCCAAGTGTCCTACAGATGTCCCTCCTGGCAGAGTGGGCACCAGGCCCATGCCCCCCAACCTGGCAGGGGCATCCCCAGGAAGGTACGAGGCTCATCAGGGCCCCAAGGCAGACGGCAGGCGGCAGGCACATGCACCTTGTCCTTGGCCTATCCTGTCCCCCTCTCCAGCCCCCGAACTGGGTGGGGCAAGGAGGAGTGGGGACAGGAGGAGCAGGCGAGGGGGTACCTCGGTCTCCAGCTGGCGTGGATCCGAAAGAAACTCCGTTTATTACTAAACATCTGGCTGGAAGTTGAGAACAAGACACAAACAGAGGTTAGTGGGAAGGGGGCAGGCAGACAGAGCGTGGGGAGCTGCCGGGATGGGGCTGGCTTCCTGCGGCTGCTGGGAGAGAAGAACCCCTACCCAAATCACCCTCCAGCCCACATCCCCAGGAGGCAGACCTTCTCAAGATTTGCATTAGGATCTTCAAGGCAGCACGTTAAAGATGCAGAGTTCTGTGCCTCTCCTCCAGAGAGTCTCATTCTGTGGGCTTGGGGAGAGGTCCAGGTATCTGCATTTTGGAACGAACACCCCGCAGATGCTGATGCACGAAGTCAGTGGACCAAGCCTTGAGAAACATCATCTTAGCGCCTCATGGAATAACCCCAAAGAGGGGCAGTGCTGGCCTTGGCAATGCCATCCCCCAGGAAGTCCTGCTGCTCGTAGTCCCGGGCACGCGCTCAGCCTAGGTCCATCCGCACGCACCACTAATGGTGTGGCCAACCAGGGGAAGTGTGTATGTGTTCGTGGGTGTGAGTTTGCGGGGGAAGTCCTGTTCGGAGCCCCCACCCCATAGGACCCAGACAGCCGAGAGTAAGGATATGGCCATTTGGCCTGAGCCTGGTAACTAGTGTCCTAGAAGTCACAGCTCCAACTCCTGGGGTGCCTGGGAAGAAGGGACACTCCACCACCATCACCATGAGCCCCGGCCACACAGACAATGCAGGGCAGATGGACACAAGGGTGGGGGTTAGTGAATGCCAAGCACTTGGCAGTCATCTGGTCCTAGGCTTTGGGGACCCACTGCCCCGGAGCAGTTATGGGTAGGAAACGGGCTGGGCTCCAGATTTGTCTCGTTTTTCAGTACCTTCCTATCCAGGCCAGGTGAGACCAGAGCAGACCGGAATCTCCAGAGAGCATGGGCCCAGGCCCTGGGCAAGGTTGCTCAAATAAAAGCTGTGGCTGGGGCGGGGGGGCGGGGGCGACTGGGAGGGAGGGGGGACGTAACACTGAAGGGCCTGCAGGCAGGGACAGAGAATCCAACCCTGGGGCCATACCATGGACTCTCTTCCAGGAAGTTCCCAGCCTGGCCTGGCCAGTCATGCTTCCCCTCCTCCAGCCCCTCATCTGGAGGTACCCCCCGTCTCCCTGCTTCTGTTCAGCTCCTGGCTGGAGATGCCCTCACCAATCACAGGGAAGAAATGCTGTTCCCAGCATCCTCTGCACCAACCCCTCACCACCGCACCCCCCTCCACCCCATTCCCCAGGCCTTTGCAGCCTGGAGAACCCAGAGCCCCTGATCAGCCTAAATACTGCTGCTGATGTTCTGCCTAGGACCCAGAGGCCCAGAGGGACTCAGTAACTTTCTCAAGGACACACAGCCTCAGGTGTCAGAGGCCAGCTCTCACCACACTGCCTCCTTCCCACTGCAGCGTGGCTGGCCTCTTCTCCCCTCCTCTGTTCTGGGCCCAGGGCTCGGAATCGCACCTGAGGCTTAAGGCCCAGATGTCTACCTGGCTGCTCAGGGATGATGTGTGAAGATGAGACAAAAACAAAGAGATGGAGAGGGGGCAAGGGAGGAATCATGGGGAACTGAATCCTTGACCTCAAAGCTATACCTTTATAGAAAAAGCCCTCTTCCCATACTGTGAGTCAGTGAGCTTCCCTTCTCCAAAAATGCCTCAAATTCCACTACTTTGAACATTTATGTGGGGGTAAGCATTGTTCTTTCTTCTTCTTTCAAGATGCAAGAGCTCCAGGAGAGACAGGTCAAGGGGGAAAAGACTGTTAGGAGCAGCAAAATGTCCCTCAGTAAGGAATAAAGGCATTGTGAGAGAATCCCAAGAGGACCCTCTGGGATTAGCCAAGCTGTGGACAAGGGTTACACAAGACAAGAGCATTAGTCATTGGCTGAGTTTATGTAGGTCCTACAGCGGTTCTTAGTCACAGAGCTCTCTCTCCAGCTGGCGTCTCGTTCCCAGGAGGCAAGTTCAGTGGCGAGCCCCTTCTAGAGGAACATGCTGGGGGAGGGGGTTCCCGGCCCTCGCGCCCCAGAATGGTGCCCACGATTACCTGAGCCGTAAGCACCTGTGGCCAGCGGCCTCCTCCTCTCTCCAGCTGCCCGGGAGGGATGGGGGTGCAGGGATGGAAGAGTGAGGGGATGTGGAAACAGAGAAAGAAAGAGGACAAATGGAATGAATGGAAGAGGTGCCAGGAAGGGACGGTGCGGATATCTCCCCCACTCAGACTCTTAGCGCCCCAGGTGGCAAGCAGGTGAGTCCAGCCTGGCCTCTCCAGGAAGGCTCTCAGTCTCTACCTGTCAGGCCGTCCAACGACAACTGCCCAGGCCTCGTGACAAGGCCTGGGAGTCCCCAGAACAGGCCCAGACACCCACATGGTGGCTGCACGCAAGTCTGAGAGAGGGTGAGACAAAGAATGGAAGAGGAGAAGGAGAAGCAAGAGGAGGTGGTGGCCCCAGGGGGCCCCTACCTTTCCCCAGGGCAGAAGGAGGCGCTGCCCGGCCGGTGGCAGGTGGCAACGGGCGGGTAACGGGAGGGCGCTCCATCAGGTACCGGCGCCCGCCGCACCTCCAGGGGCCGTAGGCCCCCATTGCGGGCCCGTTGCACGTGCTCAAACAAGAGGGCCAGCTCTCTGCAGGAGAGGGCGCCATCAGCGGCAGGCAGGGCCCTGGCACCGCCTGCTCACCTGGTGGGCATGGAGCTCTGGTGCTCAGATCCTGCCAGTCTGCCTCTAGAGGTGCTCAGCAGACACCCGAAGCCAGAACCAGCAGGGTGGGGGGTGGGGGAGACAAACCTTCCTCCCTCTCTTTCTGCACTCAGTTCCTGGGAAATCCTCAGGGCTGCCGAGTGCAGTTGTGCAGGTTGGGCACAAGTTGAGGGCATCCTCAGAAGGCGGCAAGTGGGAGCTTGAATTTAACCTACTCTCTGCTCATCAAGCGGAGTGCCTAGACATGGAGCTGTCCCTCCCTGGAGGCCAGCAGCCACCCTGAAATCCTCCCCCTCCAGACCTGACTGGATTTTAGGAGGAAACCAAGGCACAGGAGAGAGATTTGATAGGGTAGCTAGGCCAGCTTCCCACTCTTCTAGCACCCACTCCTGCCACTGGGTTCTTGGGAGACTAGACTTGGGGCTCAGCTTCTTACTCTCCAGGCCACTTCCTGTTTCTGTAACCAAAGGACTCTATCTCTCCTCTGCCTCCCACTATATGCACAAGGAAGCTGAGCTCCAAGGAGCTGAAGGCCCATGGGCCTAGAATCTCTAAACCAAGCTCTGTCCCTCTTACCAGAGGACCCAATATGACCCCCAATCTTCCCTCCCCCTCACATACACCAGCCCCTGCCCCAGTCCCCAATGCCTGGCCTTGAGTCCTTAGAGCTACCCCCACCCCACCCAAAAGGGAGGCTCCTTCCAAACCAACCACCACGCCTATCTCTGAGGTGGGGGCTTTTGGGAGGGAGCAGGGAGGGGAGCCAGGTGGAAGGGAGAGCGGGATCACGCAAAGGCTCTTGGAGATCTAACGAAGGAAAAGGCCCCCACGGAAGCTCTGAGCACAGCATCCCGGCCCAGCCTCGCCCAGCCTTGGGCTTGATTCCCTGCCTGCCCGTGGTTCCGAGCCATGCTCTGTGGTCTTCATTCCTACCCAAGGGCCTGGCCAGGCACCTGGCCACACAGACCTTGGTGATGGTTATTAGTTAACTTCCGCATGCAGCCACCCCAAGGAATACCCTCACCCAGACATGGGCCAGAGGGATGAACCCGCTTCTGGGCCCTAGGGCCCAGAAAAGTAGGGGCCTATTCACATGCCAGGGTGCTGGGCTGGGCCCCTGCCCCCAACTCTGGCGTGCACAGTCTTGCCCGTACTGTGTGTTCTCTCCTGAGCCACGGTATGCCAGGCCGGCAGGGGCTAACGCGACCCTCGGCTCAGAAAGAAGGGAGACGAGCTGGCAGCCATCCTATAGGGTGGCACCGCGGGCTAGCATGCAGACCGCCAGTGCTCCAGAGCCCGGGGTACAGCTGGTTGGGGGGGCGGGCAGGGCTCCACCCCGCACCCTGTGTCCAGCATCCACCACCTTCCCGGGGCAGAGCGGATAGGGGGAGAAGACGCTCTGGGCTGTGCATTACACGGGATTTACAGAGCTGTCCCCCCTCTCCCACCCTCCAGGGCCAAGTCCCAGCCACTTGTCCTCCAGGGGACTGCCCCCCACCCATGTCCCCCTGCATCAGGGCCTACCTGAAGGATGGGAGGATACTGTCATAGTAGTACCAGGTGGCCGTCAGGTAGGCCCGGCTCGTGTCGGTGGAGTACAAACGCCACGCAGCCTGTCGCATGAGGGAAGAGGGGGACAAGGCATCAGCGAAGGCTCTCTGCCCTCAGAGGAACCAGTCCTTGGGTCAGCGGAAGGAGACCCGGAGCCAGAGGCCAGCTCCAATTCCATCACCGCGGGCAGGGCCAGACAGAAACAGAGGCCTTGAGAGAAAGGACTTCCCCAAGGTAGCAAGCGGGTCGGCGTCAGAGCCAGGGGTCTAAGGCCAGAGCCGGGCGCTGTCATCAGGCAGGCTTGGCTTCCGGTCCCAGCTTTGTCCTTTATTAGTGGGGGCACATGCAATAAAGCTGCAGAGTCCCTCTGGCCTCATCTGTGAACTGGGTACAGTGCTACTTACCTACCAGCCTGATGTGATGGTGCAAAGGGCAAATGGTCTGTTAAGTGCCAAGCACAGTGCCTGGCCCACAGAAAGTGCCATATACTGGGCTCCCCTGTTCAACACTCCTGTCATCTGCAGTGCCACAGCTAGGAAGTAGCTACTCAACCTGTGTTTGAGCCATGTCCTTCTCTGCCCCTAGACTCTAAGCTGTGTCTTGGTCACCACTGTGCCCTTTGGTGCGTGGTAGGAGCTCTGCAAAGGTATGGGGAATAAATACTTCACTGAGTGAATTCTTCCCACTATGAATAAACCCACCTCATCTTTCCCAGCTGCCTGTCACTGCCCACAGGGTTGAAGAGGGCAGGGAAGAGCATCAGCCGCCAACCCCTCAGCATCCAGGGAAATCCGGCATCTTGCAGGATTTCCTCTGCAGCAGGAGAGATGAGGGGTGGACCAGAGGAAGGACTGTCCCTCTCCCTCCAGGTAAGAAGATGAACCAAGGAGGGACTCTGAGTGTGGTGATTAGGGAGGGCAGGGAGGCACGGACAAAGCCTAACTGAGCCCTGGAGGCCCCCCTTCTTTGGGTTCCTCTTGTCCTTAAGGACAACCCACTGCTGACCTCACTGGCCAGGCACCCTCCTAGGACAGGAATATTTTTACTTCCTGCTTGCCTAGTCCCCTGGCTTGAGCTGGGGAGCAGCTGCCAGAGCTGTCTCATTAATTATGGGCACCACAATACCAGCTGTCTCTTGGCATGGACAGTGCCAGCCTCCTGGCCCTACAATGCCCCCTTGGAAGGCCAGCTCCCAGGGGACGACGGCCATTGTGCCCCAAGGGACGCTGAGAAGGAAAGGCTGGGCTAGTGGCTGGAGATAGCAGGGATGGGGAGGAAATTCTAGCCTGGGGAGGAGAGATAAGGGGAGGGGGGCTGAGTCAGACGTGGATCAGGGAGTGAGAGGGTGGCATGCTGGGAACAGGCCAAGGTGGGATATGCCAGTGTTCCCTGAACTACTTCCCCTAGGGGCTGCTCTCACACACACTGTGACTAGAGAGAAGCCAGGGCTGAGTCACAGAGGCCCCCCAAATTGGAGCCCTTGCCTCCCTCCCACCCAATGCCCTATCAAAAGGTCTCAGCGCCGTGGGGGAAACTGAGACCACACATGCCTGGTTTTCTGGTTTTCTTCCCACCCTTCTATTCGCTCCCCTGTCTCCTTGACTGGCTCAGCTCTGCGTGCCCAGTCATTGAATGCTGAGGTTCCTAAAAGCTCAGTCCTGGACCATCTTCCCTCCTCCGTCTTTGCTCTCCATACTGGACGAACTCATCCGTGCCCTGGGCTTCATGGCTGTCCAGGTGCAATGGCTCCCACACAGTCCCCTCCTCTTAGCTGCAGACCCGTATGTGCAGCTGCCTCCTCACCACTGCCGCTCGGGGGCTGAGGCCAAGCACGCTCTCTGTGCTCCCGCTGAACTCACATTCTCATGCCCCAAATCTGGTCTCCCTCCAGTGGGGAGGGCCATCAATCATCCAGTTGGGCAAGCCAGAAACCTGGGAAGTCACCCGCCATGCACCTCCCTCACCGTCTCCCTCACTCCTGATGCCACGGATTTCACCTCCTAAAAATACAGAATCTGCCCACTTCTTCCCATCTCAACTGTTGCCGATGCCAGTCCAGCACCCCACCTTGCCCAGACAGTTTCCAGAGCCTCATAACATCTCCCACACACATTGGGAGCACTCTCCACTCTATTCAGCTCTTTTCAAAACACAAATCTGATCATGTCATCCATTCCACCTACTTCATACCTGTCAGTGGTTCCTCATTGCTCTTAGGAAAGTGTTAAACTCCTCTGTGCGGCTCTCGGGTCTGGGCCTTGCCCACTTACCCAACCCTTTCCACTGTATACTCTTTGAGCTTTCTGTTCCAGTCTCACTAGCTGCCTTCCAGTTCCCCAAACACACCAAGCTCCCTTCTACCACAGGGCCTTTGCACATACCATTCCCTTACTTTGAATGCTCCCCCACCCACCTTCACCTCTTCACCTAGTTGACTCCTACCAGTCTTCCAGCTCTCAACTGAAGCATCAGTTTCTCAGGGTCATCATCCCAGAGTTCCCTCGCAAGGTCAGATCAGACCAGGACCCCATTAAATGCTCTTCAGGGAACTGTTCTTTCTTTCAAGGTGTTTGTCTCAGTTTATAGTTACCACCTTCATTTGTGTGAGTGCTTGGGGAATGCACTGGTGTTGGGAGCAGTGCAGGCGCACTGATGACTGCACAGCCTTTGACCGGCAGGACAAGAGGCCCCAGGCCCCAGTCCACTGCCAGCCACATAGAGCTGGGGCTGGAGCAGGAGAGTGGGAGCAGTTCTGATGAGGCCTGAACTCAGCATGTGCACAAGGGAAGCTTCTGACAGTCCCATTTAGCATCTCAGCTCTAGCCTTGACTTGGCATGTGACCCCAGAGAAGTCACATCTGCTCTCGTAGCTTCAAAGTGGAGTCACAATTGCGAAACTGGGACACCTGGGTCAGCAGAGAGGAGATGACACACCAGTTCATTCCAGGGGCTTCCCGGGCTTCTCGTACCTGGATGAGGTTGGCTGCAGGCATCCTCCTCTTCTCAAAGTGCTTCTGACGGTGCTGCTCCTGCACCTTCAGGGCAAAGCCAGAGCCCAGGATGCCCTAGGGGAAGAGGCATGATTGGGAGAAGGGGCCAGAGGGGGACAACACAAAGAGAAAGTCTCATCCCCGCCCCTCTGAGCTCTCCCCTCCCCATCCATGCAGCAGGCTCTGCCCCCAGGTCCCTCTCCCCCAGGCTGGGAGATCCTAAGTGCAGGGGGACTCACAGCAGGCAAGGCAAAGAAGGAGATGCCTAGTAAGGCGAAGCCGGCAGCCAGGACCCTGCCCAGCCATGTGTGCGGTGTCTTGTCACCATAGCCAATGGTCGTCAGTGTGATCTGGGGACACGAAGAGTTTACAGACTCCTCAGAGCTGGTCTCGGGAGCCACCCACAAGAGTTTGTTGGGGCACAGGCAGGGGGAAGCCTGATCATGAGGAGGTGCCTTATGGTCATCCACAGGGGCTGGTTAGGGGCATAGATGAACTGTTCCCTTCTCTGCTTGTGGTCCATCTAGTTCACTTCCCTGTCCTGTGATGGTCAGGGTTAAGGTTGCAGGGGCTTGGTATAGGGAACTAGATGGACCACAAGCAGATCTACTGGGGCAGGTTGGAGGCTAACACAGGGGCTGGTCACAGGGGGCCCCAGCCCTAGCTGAGAGGCTCGCTCAACCCTCAGTCAGTGACAGTGGTCACACAGGGGAGGGTCTCAGGAAGAAGGGCAGCCCCTGTACAGACCCACACGCACCGTCCCCCACCAGAGTGAGTCGGCATAGGAGGAGAAGTCGGAGTTGGCGTCCTTCTCGGCCAGATAGACCAGGAAGGAGGCGAAGATGAGCACCAGGAACCCGATGTACCAGGCGGTGATCAGCTCCTGCGAGGGCAGCAAGGGTGGCAACATTAGGAGGGCTGAGGGGGAGGGGCTTGGGAAAGTGAGTCACGCTGTGGCCACCTGGCAGAGGTGGGCAGGTGGGAGGTTCCCACAATGACCTGAGAGAGGTGTTCTGGAATGGGGGACAAAGGTTCCCCACCTCTCGGACAGTGGCTCTGCCCGCTTTCCTTTCCCAGCTCCTCCCTTCTACGTGACCCTCCCCAGCCTTCCCCCCTTCCCGAAGGGGGCGAAGCCCTCCCCAAAACTCAGGGTACACCCCCTTGACCTTCCAGATTCCACATTCGGACCTCAGTCCCCAGACCCACCGCCCCCCCAGCGCTCCAACCCCCCACACACACACCCCGCCCTAGCTCCCCACTCTGTTCTGCGCCGAGGCCACGAACCCAGAATCTTCCAAGTGGGTACCTCAAGCCCTGACCCCGGACCCAGCCCAGGCGTGGCCTCAGAGATGCACCCTGTGACAGGGACCCCTGCCAGGTCCCCAGCCTCCCCTGCCCTGCCCCTCCCCCGCTGCACACCTTGCTGTGCGCGTAGACCACGGAGCCCAGCAGCTTCCAGGTGCCGCCGCGGCGGTCCATGCGGACCATGCGCAGGATCTGCAGGAAGCGCATGCTCCGCAGCGCGGACGTGGCGAAGATGTTGCCCTGCGTGCCCGCAGCGATGACAGCCACCGAGGCCACGAACACGATGAAGTCTGCAGGGGCGGGAGAGGGGGAGGTCACAGCCCTGCCGGGGAGCCAAGCCACCCCGGGGTCAGGCTCCCATGTGGGGAAGGGGGGCTCTGGGGCCGGGGTGGGGGGTGTTGGCCGTGATCGGGAGGGTCTGTGGAATCTGCCAGCAGCCAGGGTCTGGGTCAGGTTGTCAACCCTAGGGTTTGGGGTCAGAGGTCAGGCACGTGGGGGTGGGGGAGCAGGTCTTGTCACCGATGACACAGAAGGGTTTTCTGGCAAAGCGGAAGCGGCCCTGCCATCCTCGGTAGCGGCAGCAGCATCCTGCGGACCAGACGCGGATGATGTACTCCAGGCCAAACACCACGATCATCACGAATTCCTATGGGACCAGGGACCTGAGTTCCGGTCCCCTCTCCCTAGGAGCAAGGGCCCAGGTCCCACAGTACTGGCCCAGCCCAGAGCCCTTGGGTGAGGGGGGCCAGGATTTCCTCAGACCACCCCTCCTGGACATTCCTAAACCTGGCTGGACCTGAGGAGAACTCCAGAAAGAACGTGGCCCCTTCCTCAGGCTTTCAGCCCAAGCCTGTCTTGCACTTCCTGTGCACCAGCTGTGTGGGGTTTTCTGCTCTTCGCACCGCCCTCCCCCTCCCAGCTATCCCAGACTCTGTAACTCAGTAACCCTGACTGGGTGACATAAGGGGTGAATCTGTGTCAGCTGTCCACTTCCAAGGTGCTTCTGTTTGGGGGGGGGGGGATCACACCAAGGGTTGAGTTAGCAGTTTGGGTCCTGAGAAGGAGTGGGGCTTATTCACCTCTGCTCAGGGCCCAGTAGCAGCCCTGGCTTAGCAGCAGTAGGTCCCTCAACATTGGCTGGAAAGCAGGACATGAAGTCCAGAAAGGGGCAGCCACCAGCTCAGGGAAGACAGCACAGCGCCACAGGCAAGCCACTCTCTGAGCCACACAGTATGAGAAGCCTCTCTCTCCCCCTACCCTGAGCCCCAAGGGGCTTCCTTACACAGCCTCGCTCTAACCTGGCCTCTGGCACTCACCAAGATGAGGAGACATTCGTTGGCAAGTTCCTGGTGCTCCTGAATAGTGGACAGCACGGACAGCACCAGGCAGCTGAAGACCAGCAAAAATCTGCAACGGCAGCAGGGAGAGGGTTAGACTGCTGCACGGACAAGACAGGCAAGGGTGGGGGAAGGGGCTGCGGAGTCACGGGAGGTGAAAAGTATGATTTGGGAAGAATTAGCTGGAAAGCAGAATCAGAATCAGAGCTCCCTGGAGTTGTGGTTCTGTGCCAGATGCCAGCAGGAGAAGCCCCCAGGCTCTGGGCTACGGAGCTCACAGACACCGACCACTCTCTCAGTTGCCCTCGCTGCTGGCTGCCGCTCAGAGAAGGGGCCGCTCAGCGGTGGGTGGCCAGTCTGTCTGGGCTGGTGGTGGAAAGAGACCGGCTCAGGGTCCCATGGTCAGGAGGCGCCCGTGGGCTCAGCCACTCACAAGGGGTGGCCCCATGCCCTGGCTCAGTTTGAAGACCGTCTGAAGAAAAGTAGCCCAGAGGTCAGCTGAGGGGCCAGGGAAGGTCAGCGGGCAAGGGAGGGGTCCCTGCTTCCCATGAACGCCAAGGTGGCTGGAACATCGCTTCATTTTCAGAAAGGGGACAACTGCTTCTGCCTTCGTGGGCTCTTAAGGAATTAAAGAAGGAGACAACTCTGAAAGGAAAGGGGACTCGGGAGGACAGGGAAGAGGGGAAGGATGCAGAGGGGGATGGGGTATGATGAGGGGAATCAGGCCTCATGGCCTGCGACTCCCCTGAGGGCAGAGGGAAGTCCAGAAGGAGATGTTTAGAAATGGGGAGAACTTCATAACCCAGCTCATCCAATACTTCCTTCAAGCCCAGCTGCACACATAAGGAAACTGAGGCCCAGACAGGGAAAGGGACTCACCCAAGGTCTCTCAGTATGTCCAGGACAGAGGTAAGGTTAGAGCACGGGTTCCCCACAGCCCGGGGGGGCTGGGAAGAGGGGGAAAGGGCATGAGGAGAGAGGCTGGCAGCCTCGGACAGAGTATGAATGCGCAAGGCAGGCCAGGCTGAGGGGCACCGGCTGCAGATGCAGAGAAAGAAACGGAGTTGTACTCGCGGAAGCGCTCCTCTGTGAGAGAGGGAAGTGCCCGACCGCACGTGCCCTTTGGAAGAGACTCCGGAGGGAATGAGTTGCTCTGGAAACATATCCCTTGTGAACTGACCCACAGCCTTCCCCAGATGTTCCCATAGTTGCCCCACCTGGGACTGCTGACACGGCATTCTGCCCGAAACACCTGCTTTGGGGCCCACGGAGACTCTGCTCACCCTCTGCTGTGGGGAGCCTGTGGGCAGGCCCTCCGCACCCCGTTCCCTTGCAGAACGCCCCTTCCCGGGGGTTGACTGCGTGTATGTGGCCCAAGTCCCTGTCCACGTGGCTTTCTTTGTGCTCCCATTTCACAGTGGCAGGGGCACAGGCTCAGGGTCAGAGAGGCTTGGGTTCCAACCCTGGCCCAGCCTGTACAGTCACCTACCTCCTCTGAGCCCGCCTGCACATCTGTCCAGTGGGAGCCGATGGGAGGACAGACATGGGAAGGGCTTCCACCCCTTCTTGCGCAGCGGCTCCCAGGCTTCTCAGAGGGCAGGCTTAGCGCTGCAAGCCAGCACATGCCCCTGGGAAGAGGAGGTAGGTAGCCGATGCTGATGCCGGTAAAGGGTTTTGAATGAATGAACGAGGAGGAGGCCTCCTTGGCCAGTTCCAGGCAAGAGCTGAGTCAGCAAAGACAGAAGGCACAGGGAGAGCGGGGGGAGAGCTCCAGCTCCTCACGTTCAATAATTAATCACAGAAAAATGCAGAAGCCACATCAGGTCCCAGGTAGGGGGACTGCCCCTGACCCTGGGTCTCGGGACTGAGGGCCCCCCGCTGAGGTCGTCTTCATCCAGCCCCCTTCCCTGGGAAGGGCTGCCAAATCTTGATGGGCCCTCACCCCAGCCCTGAACAGAAATCCTTCCGTTCCACTGCTCAGCTGACCTCACGTCCTCAGGTTAGTGGGCCACACTAAGGGCTTTCTGCTGGGGCTTCCAGAAATTTAAGATGGACACATCACAATGGGTTAAATGAAAAAAGCAGATTTTCAAATCTGAAGGACAATGGGATCCTAATTTTTAAAATACAGATTTCTTTAAAGATTTTATTTATTTGAGAGAGAGAGAGTGAGCACAGAGGGAGACAGAGAAGCAGACTCAGACTCCCCGCTGAGCAGCGAGCCCAATGTGAGACTCCATCCCAGGATCCTGGGATCATGATCTCAGCCAAAGGCAGACACTTAACTAACTGAGCCCCTTAAATATAGATATTTTTTTATATTCATACCAAGGTCAGCGGACTTGTCTTTGGTGGCAAAATTAAGAGCGATTTGGTTTTGGTTTTGGTTTTTTGGGTTTTTTTGTTGTTGTTTTTTGCTTATCTGCACTTCCTCGTTTTTTGTTTTTTGTTTTTTGTTTTTTTTTTTTAAGATAAACTGCGGTAGGGGCGCCTGAGTGGCTCAGTCGGTTGAGTTCCTCAGGTCACGCGCTCAGGGTCCTGGGATGGAGCCCCACGGGAGCTCCGAGCTGGGCGTGGAGTCTGCTTGAGATTCTCTCCCTCTCCCTCTGCCCCTCTCCTCCCGCACGCACTCTTCCTCAAACACAGAAATAAAATCTTTAAAAATAAATAAACAGGAGTGATAGCAAACTAACAGGAATTTTAAAATGCATTTCCTTAAACATACAGAGACAGAGCCACCTTTAATCCTGTCCCGCCTCTTAACCACAATAGCCTTTGCCGTTTCGTAGGTGTCCGAGTGTGGCAGCCTCTCCCCTGGGGAGTCCAGCTCACACGTCCAACTGTCCACTCAGCGTCTCTTTCTCGGCTGTCTGGTGGCCTCTCAAACCGAACATGTTCAAAACCAAACTCGACCTGCCCTCGAATCTCGCTCCCCTCCCATCTCCCCATCTCCACGAATGACTCCACCTGCCCACCAGGGGCTCAGGCCGGATATCTAAGAGTGCCTTGGATTCTTCCTTTTGCTCACTCTCTGCTCTTGTCCTTTAGCAATTTCTGTTGGCTCTACCTTCGGGATAAATCCCTGGACAGACCACAGCTCACCACCCTGACTAAGCCACCACCATCTCGCCTCCGCCTGGCCTCTCACATCCTCTCTGGCCCAACCGCGAACCACTCTCTTCATAGCAGCTGGGGTGATCTTCCTACAATGCAAAGCTGGAAATCATCACTCTCCTCAAAACTCTCTCCTGACTTCCCATCCTATTTGGAGAGCAAAACTTACACTCCGCGTGTGCAAGAAGGCCCTGTAAGCTCTGGTCCCCACGCCTCCTCACAGACCTGCGACCCTCCCCTCCATCACTGCGCTCCAACCATCCTGAGCTCCATAGCCTTCCTGGGACACCAGATTCATGTCCACCTCCAGGCTTTGCACTGACTTTGCTGCTTCCTCTGCCTGTTTACTGCTCTCTTACTCAACCAGGTCTCTGTTCAAACATCACTACCTTGGAGAGGCTTTCCCCAACCCCCCCCCTCCAAAACAGTGGCCCCATCCCCACTCTCTTTCCTTGCTCTGCTTTACTTTTTTTTTTTATAGACTATGTAAACGAATAGCAGAAATTTCACATGAAACAAACATTAAAACACCGTGTCAGCAAAGCCCCCAGTTTGTGTCCACTGAGGAGGTTCCCAAAGCTCTGAGCTCATCCTTTCCTGACCTATTGGACACCCCGGCATCTCTCTGAGAAGGGAAGAGAAGGCAGGTCTCTGACCTTGATCAGCTCCATGCGATAGACACTGTTTCAAAATTCCCTGAGCTTCACGTCCCCTGCGCTCCTATACTGGATGGGAGTTTCTCCACCCCAGAGGCTTACTCAATGCAGTGGAACAGATACACTGAACGTGATAGAGAACATCTCGTGTCCCAGGCACCTGAATCATTATCCCCATCTTCCAGATGAAGAAAGGGGGCCCAGGGAGAGACAGACTTGCTCCAAATCACACAGTGAATCTGTGTGTTCTCTCTGTCAGAATCAGCATATGGCGTTATTCATGCAACAAACAAGGACGAAGGATTGTCTCCAGCCCCCTCTGGGGACCCAATGTCTCTGTCTCTGCCAGTACAGATAGGACACAGGAGCTGGCTGGCCTGAGCTCTCTGTCATTGCCCCAACAGAGAGGTCAGACTGACATGCACTTTCTGGAGCATCTCTGCCCATCACATCTGGCTGCAGTTCGGGGCCCGGGCTGTCCCTTGCCCGACCCAGGAGGCAGAGCTGGGATACACGGGTGCTGCCTGCCTGACTCTCCGCGGCTGGGCTTAGCTCTAGCTCAAGACTCCTTACGACCCTTCTGCACCTCCACCCCCACGCCGTGACCACCCCCGGAAAGGCCACAAGGGGATGAGGGACTGAACGGGTAGACAATCTGCTTAGATCCATGGTTCTCAAACTACAGCTGGTGTGAGAATCCCCCAGAGCACTTATCAAGATACTGACTTCTGGGCCTCGTTCCTAGAATGTAAGTATGAGGAGGGACCTGAGAATCCGGATGTCTACAGAGTTCCCTGGTGCTACTGACACTGCTCCTCCGGGAACCACACTTCGAGAATCACTGGCTCAGCTAGCTGTGCTTGGGGCTGATTCAGGGATTAGCCAGCTCTTGGCTTTTTAAACAACTGCCATCATTGTCTTCCAGGCCTCACCCCACCCCCATACCTTCCTGAAATCACTCCAGGGACAGCCCCAGCACAGGGGGAGCAAGGATGGCGCTGCTAGGGACTGTGGGTCTCACGCCAACATCAGCTTCCCCCCCAGTTCACTGTGTGACCCCCAAACTGCTCCTGCTGGCTGAGGGCTTCCTATTGGCCAGACACTGTGCCGAGCCCTCTCCATGCTTTTTTTTTAAAATTACTTCTCACAACCACCCTGTGAGAGCAGTACCATAATCACCCAAGGGCTTATCACTGAGAAAACACAGGCTCAGAAAGGCAGGCTGTGATGACCGCACCACTCTGGGAATATACTAAAAAACACTGAAGTGGTAAGGGGGTACTTTATGGTATGTGGATTA